TATATATATATATAAATTGGAAGTCGCATAACATTTTTGTGCATTCTTGGTCTACAGCAGACTACACAAAAATATGAGAAAGATATGAATCTGTTGACTTTTTTCCAGTTTATATTCATTTTTATCTGAAATGATTCAAATTTAATCCAAACATCCGGTCTAATTAAAATGTGCGCGCGTGACTTTAAACTGTATAGATCGTGAATTTATGAATTATTAAAGTAATCTTGTTATATAACTGCAAACTTCCTCCACGCACCAACTCTCTTTTTTTAATTTTGATTGTATTGTGAATTATAGTTCCCCGAATTGTGTGTTTTATTTATATTATAATATATAAGAATTTTGCTTTTTGTAATCTTATTTTATAAAAAAACGAGTTGACACGAAAAACATGATTACGCAATAATTCTGAAAATTTCGTGCGTCAATAATTCCTCTGAATCATGCGTGACAGAAATTCCGAATAAGAAGAATGGAAAGAAGGAAGGATGGAAAGAAGAGAATTTTTCTTTCATATCGCGAATCGATCGTTTTAAAAAAGAAGATGTTTATACACTCAAGATAAGGAAATTTGCGTTTTCGTAGAAGGAAATTCAAGGAAATTTCCAAACAGTGTTTGCGGTCATATTTGATAACTTGCTATCGATTTAGGCAGGCCAGATCGCGGAACAAAGGATATTAAGTTATCAATAAAGAGAGAAAAAGTGTTATCGTCAAGTCTTTTTGTTTCTCATACATATTATGCACATACACGCGAATGTGCGTACACGCGTTACAATGACCTTTACGAAGCGAATACCGCGAGCGTCGATATGCGGGGACGATGACCCAACAATTTCAACATAAACAGTATCATACGTACGCAAACTAGTATCATAAGCATGCGAACGCGAGTAAGCCAGCTTCCGTCATCGGTCGACTTGTTTCAGAACTAATATATTTCCTCCTCGGATTCTCTCCGTCGGTAGGAGAAACGCAACGTATTTCTTTCAATATAATTAAATTATTATTTATATAGCACAAAAATTAATTTTTTTAATGTTCAATAAATCAATCGTAATTGCAAAGTCTAAAATTAGATTAACAGAAAACTATCGTAAACTATAGGATATATATATA